CTGGTCTTACTCTAAAGCTACTCAGCAGTATGACGTCTGCTTCAGCTCAGACACGCTCAAGAGTGACGTAGTGGTTTTCCCTGCACCGTTTCCGCCTGCAGACGCGGAGCTGATCAGTATAAATGGAGGAGACACTTATACCAGGACTCAGACTTTACCCACCAAAGAGAAGGTAAGCTGTAACAGATTTCACAAATCTAAACGAGTGACTGTTTCACAGCTTTGTAAATCATTTAAGTGTGCAAAATCTTTAAAACAATTAAATGGATCGCAAATTATTTTTAAAATTTAAATATCAATATTAGCAATTATACTCAAAACACAGCATCATATGAATCTGAAAGTGGTGCACACACTTGTATCTAGTCCTCTGAGAGGGGCCAGCTATACTCGCATGCACACTCATGCATAAATCAGAAAGTGGTGATAACTCACTCTTGTTTGTAGTCTATCTGTCTCTGTGGCATGTAAAACAATTACTCAAAGGTTTGATGGCACTTTGACTAGAACAAACATGACTTCTGTGAACTGAGTTCTTCGGTATCTTCAAAGCAGTTCTCTGAGCAAGGGCATGTAATGCATTAAAACTGGGCTGAGTCGCTGTCCATGGTTCTGAAAACCTTGTTTTCTTATTTTGTGATGTGATTCAGATGCTGGTCGTGTTGGTGCTGATATTTTGCAGTTTATATTTGGTGTCAAATGGTCCAGTTATTGATTATAGGCAAAGGTGAGATAAAAGAACAACAGAACTAGAAATCATGTGAAAAGATATGATTAACAACACAAGTATATTGAACTGAATATTTCACACTTTGTGATGGCTGTAAGAACAGTCTACCCATTGAGTTAGTCTTTAAAAAAAATCTACTAATCATTGATATCAGACTAGAATACTCATTACACTGTACTTGATGATAAGAATATTTTGGCCAATCATTATCTACACAAACGTGTCACGAGAGGTCGCTGGAGACCATGCAAAAATGTGTTCAGAGTTTAGCAGAATCTCCTCCTCTATTCGTGACAGAACACGAAAACGTCATCATCTGTGTGTGCGTTGTGGAGATAGCGTACAGTCGAGTGAAGCTCCGAACAGAGAGGACCTTGGAAAGAATGGATTTATAAAAGTGGTGTGTTTTTTCGCGGACGGGCCAAAAGGCAGGGACCAGGACACGTCGCTTTTTCTCTGATCAGCGATGGCTGCTCGGGAACAATGGAATAACATTGGGGGTCTGCTTTTCACACTGCTTTGTCTCTGCGACTGGTCCGTGGCTCAGATATCCTACAAGATATCAGAGGAGGTGAACAAAGGGACGGCGGTGGGGAATCTCGCACGGGATTTAAATCTCAATGTTCAACTGCTGGAGTCCGCGGGTCTTCAGATCACCTCGCTGTATAACAAGCGATATTTCGACATTAACCACGAAACCGGAGTGCTTTTCGTTAACGAGAGGATAGACCGGGAAGAGCTTTGTCCGAATACGGTAAAGTGCTCTTTAAATATAGAGGCGGTATTGAGCAACCCTCGCAGCCTGCATCGAATTGAAGTTGTGGTTAATGATATCAATGACAATGCGCCGTCTTTCCTGGAAGAAATAAGTATAATTGATATGTACGAGTCTTCCTATATCGGAGAGAGGCATCCGCTGCCGGTAGCTCATGACGCAGACGTAGGGACCAACTCGGTGAAGACTTACAAATTGAACCCGAATGATTATTTCTCGCTGGACATACAGAGCATCGGTGAGCAGAGTGTGTCTGCTGAGTTAGTGCTGCAGAAAGCCTTAGATCGAGAAAAGCAGGATGTAATTGAACTCACGCTGACTGCGATAGACGGTGGAAAACCTCCCAAAACGGGGAATTTACAGATACAAATTAATGTTCTGGATGTAAACGACAATTCACCCGTGTTCAGTAAATCTCTCTACAAAGTCCAAGTGGTTGAAAATGCAAATGTTGGCACGAAGTTACTGACGCTGACAGCCACTGATTTAGATGACGGTGTTAATGGTCAGCTTGTATATTCTTTCACGGAGAGGGGTCGTTTAAATCCCGATGATAAATTTGCTCTGAATGATAAAACTGGAGAAATAACCGTAAAAGGTGATATTGATTATGAGGAAAATCAAGCCTATGAGATTCGTGTTCAAGCGCGAGATAAAGGCAATCCTCCTCGCAGTGCGCACAGCAAGGTTTTAGTCGAAGTTATCGATGTGAATGACAACGCTCCGGAAATCTCTGTGTCATCACTTATGAGTCCAGTTAAGGAAGACGCTGAAATAGGCACAGCTGTTGCTATGGTGACTGTCACCGATAAAGACGGAGGCAAAAATGGCGAGACACACTGTAAGTTATCAGGTTCTGTGCCCTTTAAATTAAAATCTAACTATAAAAACTACTATTCGTTGGTAGTGGACGGGCCTCTTGACAGAGAGAGTGTTTCCCAATATAATGTATCAATTACTGCGACAGATGAAGGAACTCCCCCTCTGTCGAGCACGAGCATAATAAATGTTCACGTGTCTGATGTTAATGACAATCCCCCAAGGTTCCTGGATCCAAAGATTAACGTTTATGTGAAAGAAAATAGTCCCATTGGAACAACAATATCTGCTCTGACGACGTTCGATTCAGACTTAAACGAAAACGCAAAGTCAACTTATCACCTAATTAATAGTTCTCCCAAGAGCACACACGTAGCATCAATGGTGAACATCAACTCAGAGACAGGAGATATAATCAGTCTGCAGTCGTTTAACTTCGAGGAGTTAAAAACGTTTCAGTTTAAAGTTCAGGC